TATACGTACACAGAATATTAACTTCCATGCCACAGTTTAATCTCCTTCCGGTCGTTGCAGGCAGCAACGGCGGGCAACTATTGCCCTTCTGTCTTATAAATATGCATTTCGTAACCTGAAGCTTTGAATTATTTTGTTTGTTTTTTAGCGTACATCCTCTCAGGTGAGGTGTGATATGTCTATTTTCGTCTAACGCTCTCGTCAAGGAGGTCATCTGGACAAAGACAGACCCCAATGCCGTGTTCCACAAAATCATCTGAGGAATGATTACTTAAGACAATGTTAGGTCAAGCTACGGTTATTCTGTTCCCAAGCATGTATCTTGTTGTGTCTTCCTAGAAGACGTTTAATAGTGTGCTTTGTTCATGGTATTTCTTATAAAATCTCCAATAAACAACACTCGTTGGATAACATACACGGCCTATGTCCCTCTGCGTTGGTGTCAGTCATTGACCTTCCATAAACGAGTCTCGACCACCATGTTCCGTCTTCCATGTTTTGTACGTGTGCCCACCCGATCGCCCGTACAACACTATAGTCTTATTAGAATAATTTGTTCCAGAAAGAGGTGGAAATACTTTTTCCGGATTTTACAAATATATAGGATAAGGTATGGTACAAGTCCTCTTTGACCCGCAAGTCTGCAGAATTCGAGGAATGAGCAAAACGTTTAAGAATCGTATTTAAGATATGGGATGTGCTCACAAAGATATGAGTAAGACATATTTTGCATTTTTTTTTAATATGATAACTCAAAATGTAGGGGCAAGGCGTAAATGTGTCAAAACGGTTCTAGGGGCTTTCTAGAAGCATTTGTTTTAAAACTAGTATTTGACCAGGAGCAAGTCTATGCCCAAAACTGCTTTCCTCGGGAGATGTAGACAAGGACAGGACATACATAGGGTAAAAACTCATCTTGCCTCACGGGCGGGCATAGATTTGTTTCTGGGGGTTGGAATAATCGGCCATGTTCACTCATTGCAGCCATTCTTATATACTTCAACGCGTCAGAAGACGTCCGCCTTATGAACATGTGTGATAATCTTCAGGACAATACTTTAGTTTTCCGTCACAAGAACATTTCAGTTGGCCAAAAGGGACCCTTATTCTACCTCGTCTGTTGTTAACTGAAACGGCTGGTTGTCCATAAATGGGAATGTGTTGTGGTTCCCAAAAAGTGTTTGGCTCATTTAGAAAACAAACACACATGTATGTATTGAAGCATCATTTATTGAAGTATGTATTGCAGCATCATGTATTGAACTATGCATTAAAATGTCATATATTGAAGTATTACTGAACTATTGAAGTATGGATTGAAGCATCATATATTGAAGTATTACTGAACTATCATGTATCGAAGTATGGATTGAATCATCATGTATTGAAGTATGGATTGAATCATCATGTATTGAAGTATGTATTGAAGCGTCCTGTATCGAAGTATTAATTAAAACATCATATTTCGAAGTATGTATTGAATCATCATGTATTGAACTATGCATTGAAGCACCATATACAGAACACTAACTGTCCCATGTGTATATATATACAGTACACAATACTGTCCCATGTGTATATATACAGTACACAATACTGTCCCATGTGTATATCTACAGTACACAATACTGTCCCATGTGTATATATATAGTACACAATACTGTCCCATGTGTATATATACAGTACACTATACTGTCCCATGTGTATATCTACAGTACACAATACTGTCCCATGTGTATATATACAGTACACTATACTGTCCCATGTGTATATATACAGTACACTTTACTGTCCCATGTGTATATATATAGTACACAATACTGTCCCATGTGTATATATATACAGTACACAATACTGTCCCACGTGTATATATACAGTACACTATACTGTCTCATGTGTATATATATAGTACACAATACTGTCCCATGTGTATATATACAGTACACTATACTGTCCCATGTGTATATATACAGTACACTATACTGTCCCATGTGTATATATATAGTACACAATACTGTCCCATGTGTATACATACAGTACACAATACTGTCCCATGTGTATATATACAGTACACAATACTGTCCCATGTGTATATATACAGTACACAATACTGTCCCATGTGTATATATATAGTACACAATACTGTCCCATGTGTATATATACAGTACACTATACTGTCCCATGTGTATATATATAGTACACAATACTGTCCCATGTGTATATATAAACAGTACACAATACTGTCCCATGTGTATATATACAGTACACAATACTGTCCCATGTGTATATATATAGTACACAATACTGTCCCGTGTGTATATATACAGTACACTATACTGTCCCATGTGTATATATACAGTACACTATACTGTCCCATGTGTATATATATAGTACACAATACTGTCCCATGTGTATATATACAGTACACAATACTGTCCCATGTGTATATATACAGTACACAATACTGTCCCATGTGTATATATACAGTACACAATACTGTCCCATGTGTATATATATAGTACACAATACTGTCCCATGTGTATATATACAGTACACTATACTGTCCCATGTGTATATATACAGTACACTATACTGTCCCATGTGTATATGTACAGTACACAATACTGTCCCATGTGTATATATACAGTACACAATACTGTCCCATGTGTATATATACAGTACACTATACTGTCCCATGTGTATATATACAGTACACAATACTGTCCCATGTGTATATATACAGTACACAATACTGTCCCATGTGTATATATACAGTACACTATACTGCCCCATGTGTATATATTCAGTACACTATACTGTCCCATCTGTATATATACAGTACACAATACTGTGTCATGTGTATATATACAGTACACTATACTGTCCCATGTGTATATATACAGAACACAATACTGTCCCATGTGTATATATACAGTACACGATACTGTCCCATGTGTATATATACAGTACACTATACTGTCCCATGTGTATATATACAGTACACTATACTGTCCCATGTGTATATATACAGTACACTAAACTGTCCCATGTGTATATATACAGTACACTATACTGTCCCATGTGTATATATACAGTACACTATACTGTCCCATGTGTATATATACAGTACACTATACTGTCCCATGTGTATATATACAGTACACTATACTGTCCCATGTGTATATATACAATACACTATACTCTCCCATGTGTATATATACAGTACACAATACTGTCCCATGTGTATATATACAGTACACAATACTGTCCCATGTGTATATATACAGTACACAATACTGTCCCATGTGTATATATACAGTACACTATATTGTCCCATGTGTATATATACAGTACACTATACTGTCCCATGTGTATATATACAGTACACTATACTGTCCCATGTGTATATATACAGTACACTATACCGTCCCATGTGTATATATATATATATATACAGTACACAATACCGTCCCATGTGTATATATACAGTACACAATACTGTCCCATGTGTATATATACAATACACTATACTCTCCCATGTGTATATATACAGTACACAATACTGTCCCATGTGTATATATACAGTACACAATACTGTCCCATGTGTATATATACAGTACACAATACTGTCCCATGTGTATATATACAGTACACTATATTGTCCCATGTGTATATATACAGTACACTATACCGTCCCATGTGTATATATACAGTACACTATACTGTCCCATGTGTATATATACAGTACACTATACCGTCCCATGTGTATATATATATACAAAGTACACAATACCGTCCCATGTGTATATATACAGTACACTATACTGTACACAATACTGTCCCATGTGTATATATACAATACACTATACAGTCCCATGTGTATATATACAGTACACTTTACTGTCCCATGTGTATATATACAGTACACAATACCGTTCCATGTGTATATATACAGTACACTATACCGTCCCATGTGTATATTTACAGTACACTATACCGTCCCATGTGTATATATATATATACAGTACACTATACTGCCCCATGTGTATATGTACAGTACACAATACTGTCCCATGTGTGTATATACAGTACACTATACCGTCCCATGTGTATATATATATACAGTACACTATACCGTCCCATGTGTATATATACAGTACACTATACTGTCCCATGTGTATATATACAGTACACTATACTGTCCCATGTGTATATATACAATACACAATACTGTCCCATATGTATATATACAGTACACTATGCTTGGTCTGGGACGAGTCCAAATCTACTGCCCGGTATATCCGACCTCCTATTACCCGACCCTACCCGGGTACCCACTGCAGGTCTCAAGAGTTGGGAACAAGATGTCTGATTTGGAATTGAATCACCGCAGCCCAGGCAGTACCTATAGATACATGTATCAAACGATCTGATCATGCGAACACAGAAGCGTTATCTTTACTCAAACATATGCGAGTCAAAAGGAATGGATGTATCGTCAGAAAGAAATGCGAACATTAGCGATATGTAGTCTAACCACGGAGCTATAATGAATTTTTGTCATTAAATGATAATTAACCACGGGTCTGGGTAGTCCTGTGTGTACCCGGGTCCTACTCATGACCCACCCGACCCGACTACCCGAGTTACCCGTCCCAGCCCTACACTATACAGTAAATTGTGGAAACTATCTTGTACAGTATTCCTACACCAACTTATCTAATTTTCTCATTCACTTGTCTGTCCGCTTTACGGGTTGCGTAAATGTTGTTTTTCTTTCTTGTAATTCAGCGATTGCCATTACAAGAGTGTGAGTATGTGCGATACGCACCCTTGGACAAATAATGATAAAAAATGTAGTTTTTTGCGATATATTGTGAAAATTCTCCCCTAAACATGTTTCACTTTCAAATTAGCAACATGCTTGGGATGGGTGTCATTGTTTGCACCTGGTCTCCTATAAAAATGACTGTTGACCTGACTCAGCCAACTCAGTCGCAATGGCGTGCTCAACCCTGTTCGGAGTTTCCCTGCTGGCTTCCTTCATCGCCCTCGGTCTCGGCGTCAGCGTGACGTTGGAAGCAGAGGCGTTTGCCGGCAAGCTGGACGAGAACAGAACCATTTATAGGTCAAACGCAGGTAATGTCAGAAATGTCCTGCTCTTCATGGGTGAAAGCATTGACATGACGTTCTGTTTGGGTTCAGACGACAACGTCCTGATTGAAAACCTCTACTATTCCAACGACGGCACCGAGGACGTCTTCAGTCTGGAACTTGACGGCAAACTTATCGGAAGCGTCACTGGTTACGATAGCACCGACTTTGGCAACAATTGGAATTCCATTTCCGCGTCAGGAAAGGTTGGTGAAACTATCGATCTGGCCAGCGGGGAGCACACTCTGAGGGTCTTCGTTGAAGCCCAGGACGAAAGCAAGGACGACGGTTACGGCGTTGAGCTCGACCGCATTGTCCTGGACGTCGCGTACAACAGCGACCTGTCATGTCCCGAAAGCACAAGCGCTAACACCGACAGTCCGACCACAGTCACCGAGGAGACGTCGACGACGTATTTGAAGGAGTCATCGACGACGAATGCGGAAGATACGACTGAGGCTGAAACGACGACCGCGTCTGAAGGCGACTATTAGGAGGCACAGTGTTCGTCAGAGAGCATCAGGTAACTAATTTTATTGGTATCATAACGTATTACCTCAGTCGCTGAGGTTCCTGTCCATATGTCACCACTAATGACCGACCCGTGAAGATTCCGGGGTAGAATAGGTCTTCAGAAACCTATACTTGCCGTAAAAGGCGACTATGCTTGTCGTAAAAGGCGACTAACGGGATCGGGTGGTCAGGCTCGCTAACTTGGTTGATACATGTCATCGATCCCAATTGCGTGGATCGCTGCTCACGATGTCAATCACTGGATTGTCTGGTCCAGACTCGATTATTTTACAGACCGCCGTCATGTACCTGGAATATTGCTGAGTGCGGCGTTAAACAACAAACAAACAAACAACAAACACAAATGACCAATTCTCGTTTGTAGCCCTCAAGACGTTTTAGTCCAGTTGTTTGAATTTATACACTACATACTATACTACTCAAAATATGTTGTGAGGACTACCCGATTTTTCTCATGCCATGACATATTAACTGTAGTAATATGAAAGAATCGGTTGTCCTTTACTTATTTTGAGTAGCATAGTATTTCCTGTTGTGGTCATACTCTCTTCCATTTTCTGGATGACTTTAAATTTGGCATTTACGTTTATGTATGAATGTATGCTTTAATACGCTCCCTATATATACCACTAACCGCAACGTGGTGTAGTGCATAGGGCGTTGTACGATCCCCAGCTGCGTCAAACCAAAATACGTAAAAGGGTGGTACTTGTTGTTATCATTAGGGGGGTGAGGCGGGGGGTGGGGGCGGGGTGTGGAGGGTGTGTGTGTGTGTGTGTGTGTGTGTGTGGGGGGGGGGGGGGGGGGGGGGTTGGGGGGGTGTAACAAGGACTTGCATAATGTGTCTGAGTGGGGTATCCATGTTTAACTGATATCTCAGTGGACACTATAAAACCGGCAGAAATCTTTAACACGACGTTACACCCCATTTCAACACTCCTGACCTCACCTATACCCCTTAAGACTAGACATACACTACTCATGCTGCCGTCATGACCTTTGAACCCAAACTCACTCTGTAACGAAAAGGGGACACGGATGACCCATGCAGTCATCTTAGGCGCTGCAATTTTCGGTGCAGAGTTGCGTCCCTTGGCATTCTAGGTTCGAATCCCGGCTCGCCCCGATGATTCTAGGTTTGACGCCACCATGCTTGTGGGTTTCAAGTAGGTAACCATCACTTCGGGCTTTCCTCCAACGTAAAGCTGAGGCGCCGTGATATGGCTGGAATACTGTTAAAAGCGGCTCTAAACCCAACTCACTCACTATAACGTTCTGCAGAGTTGCGTCCCTTGGGCACACCAGAAACCTATGATTGTGGGTTCGAATCACAGTTCGCCCCGATTATGTTTCTAGGTTTGTCAGCACCATACCCGTGCTCGTGGGTTTCACCGAAGTGGTAAACGTCTGAGACCTGCATCACTTCCGGCTTTCCTACCACATTAAGCTGACACGCCGTGATATAACTGGAATAATGTTAAATGCGGCGTTAAACCCAACTTACTCACTCACTCACTCACTATAACGAATAATCCCCCATATACTCGCATTCTAACTTTCAAAGTTGCGTCCCTTGGGCACGCTAGAAACCTATGATTGTGGGTTCGAATCCCGGTTCGCCCTGATTATGTTTCTAGGTTTGTCAGCACCATACCCGTGCTCGTGGGTTTCACCGAAGTGGTAAACGTCTGAGACCTGCATCACTTCGGGCTTTCCTCCCACATTAATCTGACACGCCGTGATATAACTGGAATAATGTTAAAAGCGGCGTTAAAGCCAACTCACTCACTCTAACTTTGAAAACCACAAATTCTCATTCTATAAATTCAGCTGCCCCCTAATACACACTGCCAACGTTTAAATCGCCCTGTCCGTAACATACCCACAGTGTCAATATAGAGTTCAACACGTGTCACTATATCTATAACCTTTATACCGCCTACGCCCGCTTGTTAACGTTAAAATCCAAATTTGTTCCTTCTTTAATTTAAAATTAGAATAACTATTTCACATATTCATACGAGTTATATCTGTTTCAGAAATGCCTTGCATTGTGGTGCGACATTAATATGTACCGCGGCGTTATACAAACTGGCACTGCGGGACATCATCAGAAGCTTGATTGAGTTCGCCTCCTTAAACACAGACCAAAGAAACAATGGTGTGCCTCCGCAGGACATGGTTTCAAATAAACATCAACATAAAATGTTTTTGCTGTTATATTTGTATTTGTTTCTCTTCTGTTTATGGGGGCGGTCGGGTAGCCTAGTGGTTAAAGCGTTCGCTCGTCACGCCGAAGACCCGGTTTCGAATCCCGAAATGGGTACAATGTGTGAAGCCCATTTCTGGTGTCCCCCGCCGTGATATTGCTTGAATATTGCTAAAAGCGGCGTAAAACCATACTCACTCACTCACTCACTCACTTCTGTTTATGGGGTATTTTGTATTCATATTGTTTTTCAAATCTGCTTTAATAGCATAAAGAAATTATAAGAGGGAAAACAAATCTGAAAATTACGATTTCTTAAATTCCACACCGCGAGAAAACGTACGTGTCCCCCCACATGACATGTACAGCTTCCCGAGGTAAGGGAGATAACTGGTGATAAGAGTCCCCGAAACTGGACTTAAGAATCAGTTAACCCCCTTGCCTCGGGAAGATGAAAAACATGAGACTGGTTCCCGTTCGTTCCTGCGACAGACAGGGACAGACTTCCATTGGAAGGCAGAGCAAGAGCAGGGACACCAAGCGGATGATCTGGGAACCAGTCTAATGAACTATGTACAGTACAATCCATTCGAAGTGCCAGATAGGCAACTTTAACTTCATCAACACGGAAAATATGGCTAGATCTACACATTCAGAAAACCAATCTCCGATGTCGTTTTTCATTTTTATTGGTTTCCTGCCAACCAACCTTGGTTTCTGGGCCCCCTCCGTGGCCTATCGGATAGAGCGTCTGCCTGGAGAGTGGAAGGTCGGGGGTTCGATTCCCGGCCGCGTCATACCAAAATACGAAAAAAATATGGTACTTGTTACCCTATCTGGCCCTCGGCATTTAGGGGTTAAAACCAGGACTGGTCGGCTCATGCATTGGTAGATATTGGTCGACTGGTATTCATGTTAAACTGACGCATGGTATCTCAGTGGGCTAGCACTATCAAATCGGCATTAGTTCGAACTAGTACAAGCAACCACACACACACACACACACACACACACACACACACACACACACACACACACGTCGTTATATAAGTGCAATAATCTTGAAACCCCATTTCAACTCACCTTACCTCACCTCACAAGGGTGTGTCACTACAAACTCCGTACATCAAGACTGTCTGGTCTTATAGATGGGTGTGCACAGGTGGCAGAGTGGTCAGGACGTCGCGATGATGTATGGTAGCGAATGCGAATTCATGATTCTTTCGGATATGGAGACGGCCTCCGTGTTCTAGAGGTAGAGCGTCCACCCGGAGAGCGGAAGGTCCGGGGTCCGGCCGCGTCATACCAAAAGTCGTTGAAAGATGGTACTTGTTGTTACCCTTGCATTAAGGGGCTAAAACAAGGACTGGTCGGCTCGGAGTCAGTACACTGTGTCTGAGTAGGGTATTCATGTTAAACTGCGGCATGGTATCTCAGTGTGCTAGCACTATAAATCGCCATCAGTCACGACTAGTACAAGCAGCCACACACGCACGCACGCACGCACGCACACACACACGCACGCACACACACACGTGCATGCACGTCGCTATATAAGTACAATAATCTTGAAGGCGACGTTAAACCAAATTTCACCTCACCTCGTACTGTTATGGGTTTTTTTTGTTTTATTGTTTATAAAAAGAAGTACCCGTCACATAAAATTGGCTCCCGCCCGGAGTAGCAGAAAGCCCATGACATATATATATCACAACTTATCAGTACATCTTTTTAACGGACATGACATACTTCTCACTCACATATTCACTCTAGTAATACAAATACACTGCATATATCCAGTATGCATAAACTATGAAAGTTTATACATCATATTGCAGTACGGGAAAGTACATGGTCTCTAACATTAATGTCTTAAGTATAAAACTAAAATTAAAATAAAAGCTGCACCTCATTTTCGAAAAGTTTAAGATACAGCATCCAAGCTTCAAAGAATTTCTGCTGATTACCTGTCTTGAAAATAATATCTTTTTCAATCCTAGTAACGTTTTGATAACGTTTGTAATTTGATTGGTCAAAATCCAATTTTAAATATATATTTTCTTTAGCCCGGCAGTTGTATATAGGTAAACCCATCAACGATTACCCATTGTATTACTGGGACAATTAGAATAAACACTATGATTCACTGGATAACCGAGGACCACGTGTTTGCAGACGAGTTTTACTTTGTTTTATATTTGTTTGTTTAACGTCGCACTCAGAAATTTTCCAGCTTGCAGATTAAAAGTACATTGAAAGAACACATTTTCTACATGTTTTACTTCTGAAAATGATTTAGTAAAATTATATTGATTGTTGCGGTTGGTTGTTTATCTTGTAAAACTGGATCTTTCCAATGTTATCTTTTTTTGTTTGTTTTGTTTAAAGGGGCACGGATCTAAAGCAATTCCCCAGGACTGGTTGTTGCCTTTGTTATTGTTTTTCCCCGTGAGTACCCGGATGATATAGCAGAAACCTAGACTAGTTCGCAACCTGTGCTGCGCAATTCGTAAGCGCATTTTTCACTTTTATTGATAGTATAAGGGCGTATGGTCACATTGATCAACAAAATGAAATACAGTTTTGGAAATAATAAGGAAATGTAGGTATCTTTGTGGGTAGCATCGGTAATGGTGACAAAGTTTTGATAAGTCACTTGCTTGGTAATTGTGCGATTTTCGTTTACACTATTTTGACTTGCAACACAAAGTAAATATTTCTCCTGAGGAGGAGGAGGAAGGAGGAGGAGGAGGAAGGAGGAGGAGGTGGGTTCTTTGTTTTGGTTTGAGGGTAGTCAAAGCAATGGATGAAAGCGTTCTTTCGGGAGAGATGGGTGGCCCTGAAAAGGGCCGTTTTGGAGAAGAAGAAGATTACTTCTTCACCCGAATACACGCAGTGGTGCAAAGGCGCGGATGGCCTGCCACCTGTCTCCTGACAGGACACTTACTGGTGTTGCTTAAATGCCTCAAGTAAGTGTCCTTCAGGACGGTGTGACAAAAGACACACTGGAATGTGCCATCACGTGCCCTCGTCCCATGCGCATAGACTGGCAGGCAGCCATGGCAGAGGCTACATATTGCCATGGAGGAAGCGATGGCAATGCTGGTACTGCTTCTGTCTCCATGTTTCGCTGACACTCTTTGCACAGCGGCAAAGGGTGTGCAACTGAAACTATCTCCAAGTCCCAATTTTCTGAGGTGATTGGCATTCTCGATGCGATGATGATCTCATAGAATGCAGTGTGTGAGTGAGTGAGTCACTAGGAGATTTAACGTGCGCTTTCCGACTAATAGCGTATTTCGCACACGGGGAAGCACTTTATACTATTGGGAGAAAAAAAGCGTAATGAATAAATAAAGAAGTGCGACCCAAAAAAATGTAACTTTTACAGATCTAATCTAATAAAGCTGCGGGGGGAGGGGGTTTGGCTGGGAGGGTGTGGGTGGTAAAAAAAGTACTCAATAATATGGAAAAGTTTGGGCGTGGGTTGGGAGGGAGGGGGTCAAGCGTGGGAAGGCACGGCGTCGGCGGGCGAGCATGGTGCTTAGCGACGAGATCCTCCCAGGAGTCTCTTCGCAAGGGCCTCATCCTTGGGGTTGGGCGACTTGAAGAGGTTCTTGGTGAGGAGGGCGGCTGAGTGGGCGACGAAGTGCTTGTTTGTCTTGATGTCGCAGTCCATGAGAAAGTGGGAGAGATCTTGATAGTTGAAGATCTCGTGTTCGAAACTCGTGTTAGTAGTGCGGCTCTGAGGCTGGAATCCTGGACCTGGACCGGGGTGGTCTGGGTCTGGACGTCACTAAGAGAGGGGGGCTCTGGTTGACTGGTCTGGATTCCGCTGTCACTCATGGTGGGCGACTGGGTCTGGCATTCCGTGGACACAGTGGTGGGAGGTGGGCGGGAGGCAGGTTCGGGTGAGGGGATTTCTCTCCTCTTCCTCTTCTTTCTCCCGTGGCCGGTGCCCTCGGGTGAGCGGAAGGGCTCCTCCCCTCTGGATTCGAGGGGAACGAGGTCCAACGCAGCTACCGGGGGTGGCGGGGTGGTGGGGAGGGAAGTCTCTATCTCCATGTCTAGTACTGGAGGAGGGATCTTCTTAACCCGTGGGGGCCCCTTCTTCTGCGCCGGACGGGGAGCAGGAGGTTTAGGGGCTTTGACCAAGGTCGAAGGAGATGGAGAGCGTGGAGGTGTTGGACTTATAGGAAGTCCTGAGGGAGTAGTCCCCAACCCGGTAGGCCAGCAGGGGCTCCAGGGTGGAGACAAGCTCCCTCGGTAACGACATTGAGAGGTCTCTCATTGTCAGCTTGGTGGTTTGGAGAGCTTGGGAGGACGTGTGCGCGGGGCGAGAGTCCAAGCCAAGATGATGCAGTGTGTGGGTTCGCTCTTGTTTTATAGGAGAGGCACTGAACCCCTGCTTCCTGATTGATTCAAAACGCAGCGCACCGATTGGTTAGTTCCGGCGCCTGGTCTGCTCCTCGGTTTTCCAAACTGGGCCGACCCTAGTGTTTCTTTTCCAAAGGAAATGGATTTTACCATGGGAAAGAAAGCACAACCCCGGTTCGACCAATCAGAGCCCAGCACTGGCTGAGCGCCGCCTTTGATTGGTCCAAAACCCAAGCCTCTGATTAGTCAGATTTCGATTCTGTTCTTTTGGGTAGTCATGTTTTTTAGGTAGACGGTCGTCTGAATTCTAAGGGTGGACCGTCATGGGCAGACATGAACGTGATGTGGGAATGCCTACGTGATGTACTTTGTGTCTCCCCATACAAAACGTGATGTCACGCGTGACTACAAACATACGTTTATCAATATGATTATGACGTTGTCACTCGCTCATCCACACCGAAGTGTTGGCACTCGTGTATGTTTACATGCCTACTGTCACGCGTGTCTCCATGCAAACGTGATGTACTTCGTGACTACAAACAGACGTTTATAAATATTATTATTATTTATAATATTTATATGGATAAGGAGAGCGAGAGAGAGAGAGAGAGAGAGAG